ATATGTTTGTACTGTTTGCATCATATTTGCAAAAAATAAAATCAATTGATAAAGTGTTACTTTCCAGGACTTTCTTACAACATTGATGGGCTACTTTTTGATAATTAGTGGTCAGTAAGCAAAACATTTCACCCATTCTTTGTGCAGGTGTCATGATGATTTAGAAGCAGTATACTTGGACTTTGGCCTTAATCCTTATGTAAGCCCAGTTTACGGAATTGATTTATTGCTCAGACTTGAAGGAAATCAAAGTGAAAAACTGTCATTTCTAAAAGTCATATGATGAAAAAATAAGAACAAACAGGTAAAACTAAACATTAATTCTCATTCTGTGGTTTTAAAATGCTGACACTGGGAAGGCATGTTTAGCTTGAAATAGAGGGAGAGTGGCGACAGATAGAAGCAGGATTTGAAAGGTTTAAAAAAATGAAATAAAATAGAAATCTCTTACCGGTAAGTAAAGTTTACAAACCTGAAGTCGGCTCCAAGCGAGGCAGCGATGGCGTTTAGTTCACTCTGCATTTTGCTCAGTTTCTTTCCCACGCAGATCACAACACCATTCAGGGGACCGGCTTCTTTTCGTGGACTCTAACACGCAAACACCATATTGTTTTTGTCGGTCTTTCTTTTGAGTTGTTATGTTTGTGACTGGGAAATAAAGACCTGTGTGTACTTCAATCTAACACTGATAATCGCTAAGATGTGCTGTGGCTCTGTAACCACCAGGCTCTAACACATTTGTATAGCAGTACTAGTGTTTACCTCCTTCTCAGCTGTCTTTGCAAGTTGGGGACTGGCAGAGACTGCTTGCATCTCTGAGACATTATTGCGGGTGCTATTAGCCAGCGCTACTTTCAGGTTCCTGTTGATGACATCAGTGAGTGGAGTCTCAATCCTCTTCCCTGGTTTCGATGCCCCACCCGGAGTTTCCATAGCTCCAAGTGCATCCTTAATAATATAAATACACATATTTAGAGAAACATTAATCAAATATCAGCAAACATGAAATGCCAGAAGTGTAAGCTGCTCAGTGAATCCCAACCTTGACATTAAAAGAGGGTCTGAAGAGCTGGTCTCGGTTGAGGAAACGAGAAGGGGTGTCCAGCTGCAGGGAGGCCTCGTTCTGTAGTGGGTTCCTTCTGCCACCCTCCTGGTTTTGTTTTGGGGTGCTGATGTCCTTTTTGGGCTTCATCTCATCCAAAACAGATTGGAACACTTTGCTCTGAAAGCGGCCTAAATCCAGAGGAGTGACAGCCTTACCGCTCCGGGGACCCAACAAAGGGATTTCTGGAGAGGAACGAGCCGGTGGAGGCATAATCTGTTTCTGCGAACCACCTACAAAACTCTCTTCATCCCTTTCTGTGGAGGAACAAAATAAAAACAGCCAGTCTCATTAAGAAGCAATGACACACTAGACAAACTTGAGTCTACAATTACATTTAATAACATAATGAATTTAATAAATTAAGCGAACTGGAACTAAAACTAAACTAAAATTAAAAACCAATAAAAACTGAACTATCGTTCTTATAAAGACCCATCCCTAGCCAGGAAAATCTCTGGTGGTAGTCATTAGCAATCAGGTCAAACCGGTGCTACAAATGATTGCCTCTTAAAACTCGAGCCAAACTCCATCATACGGTTTAATTTAATGTAATTTATAACTCTAATCGTGTGTTAAGAATTACAGATCATAAAACAGATCTAGCAAAGTTAGTTATCTAACCTGGTGAGGATGGCAGATCAACTAAAAATCTTCCCTCCTCTGCTCTCTTCCCAGTTCGAGCAGACTCTAGTATCCAGTGCATGGTAACAGCAGGAAGCCCCCACTTCTTTGCTGCCTGGTACTTTGTGCCCTCGGGGCTCTGCAGCACCAGATGAGTGCTGGCCAACATGCCTTTCTTCTGGTTGGCCAGGCGCACAAAATAATCCTGGACGCTGCAGCAAGGAGACACAAAACAAATTTAAAGATTTAACACACATATCTCCTAATGAGCAGCAGGACTGGGCTATAAAGTATGCAGCAGAGCAAGTGAATTTAAGTTACAGCAATGCACACAGGCCAGGGCTGCTTCTTCTTTTATTAAACAGCTGTATCATCCTACTGCTCAGAAGCACATACAGATAGAAAAATGTACGGAAGACAGAAATTCATCCTCATTGCTGCTCTGAACACAAAGCAACTGCCTTCATATTGAGTGTTCATGCATAATAATAAATGCAAATACCAGCTAATTTAAAAGTTTAATCAAATATTCCTGCAGTAATTAATGTTTATGGATATTATGCCTAAACATAACGACTGGTGCATGTAAGGTAGTCATACTCGGCTCCAAGGTGCTTGGCAAGCTCCACCAAAGACTCCCTCTCTGCTCCGGTGAACTGGCTGACAGAGAGGACGCAATCTTTGAGAGGAAACTGTCCGTCCATCACTGGGACAGGAGTGAACAAAGGGTGGGAGGACAGCTGCAGGACACACTCCTTCTCCACACACATGACCTGAGGTTTAATGAGAGAAATAGGT